CTTTTCGAGGGGTTGTGGGTTTCAGTGGTGTATGGTTCTACCTTATATTGATATTGGTAAAAACCAAAGTGTGTTACGTTTTTGAATTGAGGCATTTGAAGGCATTTCAAATGAATGGATTCGAAACTCATTGAATTTAAATTTGCTATACTTGCGGGTGGCGTGGTCGTTGCAGTGCTGGGATGAAGAACGTATTTCAAATGGCTAGGTTTGAGGAATCATTGAAATCCCTGAATAGTATTATTAGAACACCATTGAATTTCTAGGGTGATGTTGAAATCCTCCAATTTCTATTGTCATCCAAACATGTGTGTGGATTTGGACTTTTGAATTTGAAATCCATAGATTCAAATCCCTCAACCCAAGTACATCCTAAGGTTTTTTTTTTTTTGCTTTGGACTTCTTGTTGGGGCCTTTATCCTTGTTATTATTGTAGGCAGTTCTTTTTTGATTTATAGTGTTTTTTGAACTGTGAAGCAATGTGCGTAATTTCTATGCATCTTATACATTTCCAATTGCTTTCCCTTCCCTCAGTTTGGAACTCATGATGTTGTGGTTTTGAGGTCAAACAAATCTGATCTGGGGTCTCCTCCTCTAGGGCAGGGTGTTGTTTACAGAATAAAGGTACTATTACTCTTGTGGAATTAACAGTTGCTACACATTCTTATGATTCATTGAGTTTATATGTAAATACTCTTTTCTTTTGAGCAGGACTCATCCATTACTGTTGCCTTTGATGACATACCAGAAGAAGGTTTAAATAGTCCCCTACGACTTGAAAAAGTTGCAAATGAGGTAGATTTTCTGTACCATTAGATTGTATGATTTTGTTTCCGCAAAGAATTAGAGAAAAGTACTTTGTGATACATTGCCTTTGTTACTGTATACTTTGGGCAAATTTGTAGGAAATTATGCTGTTAAAACTATATAGCAGGATATGAAATACATGATTCTGGGTCTGCACATGCTTGACCCTTTTTTCTAGCTTAATCAATAATAGTTATAGAGCCTGAGTTCCCTTTCTATTTTAGTCTTAAAGTTCAATCCAACTGCCTCCATTTTCTTAGAAGAATCAACATATTTATCTAAGCTGCCAAAAGAATTGTCTCTGAACTTCCTGGAATTGTTTACTCCAGTTAGTTTATTAATGATTGGTAGGTATAGGAAATTTTCATATTGGATACATTTGTTTATATATAATACACTTATTGAATTCTATCCACATACTATTGAGTTTGAATTAGGAAGATTCCAATTCAACTGAATTGAGCATCATGTAGATAATTTTAGATCTAAAACAGTAGATTTAGAAATTGATGAAGCTTTCAATATGCTGAAGAGTTGTGAATTTTTCAGCATTGAATATGGGATTGATTTGTAGGTGACATATCGTCGGTTGAAGGAAACGTTGATTCAACTAAGTAAAGGCGTGCAAAAAGGTCCTGCTTCTGATCTAGTTCCTGTTTTATTTGGAGAGAGGATACCAACGGTGTCCAAGAAGGATGTCAAGTTCACCCCTGTTAACAAGAACCTTGATCATTCTCAGGTTTCTTTTACAAAATACTTTCATGTAGCCACAATCATGTCTTTGTGATATCTTGTTCTTCATTATCTTGATAAATTTAAGAACGTGGCTGCTAGAAGCTTATATTTCAGATTTTCATGTCTTATTCTTAATATTCCTTGAGGAGAAAATCTTTCAGATGGTTTTAATGAAACTTTTCAGATGGTTTTCATTTTCTTATGAGTAGTGAAATTGATTAATGCCATTGGTGACTTGGTTAATAAAAACGTAAGCGACAAAACTGTAGGTCTGCTTCAGATCTTGTTCTTTTTCTTGCTCATTTTTTCTTTCTTTTCAGTTTTCCTAAAACTTATATTTCGTGATTCATAATAGTAGCCCCTTATAAATTCTTCCAGTATTAGACTGAATAAGATTTCTTATTTTTCAAGAAAGATGCTATCTCAAAGGCTCTATCATCCAAGGACCTCCTTTTGCTGCATGGACCTCCTGGAACAGGGAAAACTACTACTGTGGTAGAAATTATCTTACAAGAAGTCAAGCGTGGATGTAAAATTCTTGCTTGTGCTGCATCCAATATTGCCGTCGATAACATTGTGGAGAGACTTGTACCTCATAGGTATATATGATGATCTGAGTGCTTACTTTCTAATATCACATTGTTTAGAAAAGGAAAAAACAGCTATTCTTAGCCTGGTTTTACTTTGGTATTATTCTCTGTTTCTATATTGACATTAGAAAAAAATGAATATATTATGTAAACACTTCTATAAAGTTGTCTTGAGGAAATGTCAATTGGTCTTTCTATAACCTAAGTTTTGGGCGACTCATGATCGATGTTTTTGTAATTTTATGCTTAAAGCCTCAAACTCATTCACATACTCTTTTCCACCTAGTTTAGTTAGAGCTGATAGAATGAAATTTCTTAATGCATAATTTTCAAAACTAGCACCATTAGCAATCTTTTTATATTTCCCAGATTCATAAATCAACCCATGAATTTGATTGAAAACTTGCTTCATATGTTTATATGCACAAGTAGACAATGAAAACTGACTAGGAGATCTCAGGTTTGCTCAGTTTTTATTGCCAATATTAGTAGCTGACTCTCTCGGTTTGTAACAGAGTGAAGCTGGTAAGAGTTGGGCATCCTGCACGCTTACTTCCTCAAGTATTGGACAGTGCTTTAGATGCACAGGTAATATTTCTATTGCCCCACAGTCAAAATCTGTATTTTAGATTGTCTTCTCATAATATATTTATCCATGCCATTTTTGTTAGATCATTTTAAAATGATGTCTTTATTGTTTTTGTTTTTGCTCTTTTTTTTTCCTGCATATATATATTCCACATTTCTTTCCAGCAANGATTTTTAGGTTTTGCGTGGGGATAATAGTGCACTTGCAAATGACATTCGCAAGGAGATGAAGGTATATGCTGTAAAATTAAAATCATTCATTAACATTTTGTGCTATGACAAGCCCAGCCATCTGAATTTCAAATTTCAATTTGTAATAGTGATGATGGATATGACTGATGAACATAAGGTCTCTCCTTGATAATAGGCAAAATTATCAATGCCGCACCTCCAACCCCAAAATAAATGAAATAAATAAATAAAAGAAGCACCCAAAAGTAAAATAAAAAAAAAGGAAAAGCTTAATTAGATGGGCTTCTCGTTCAGTAGAACAAGAAAATTGACTGTGTTTGATTACTCTGTGCAGGCTTTGAATGGTAAACTTTTAAAAGCCAAAGACAGAAACACTAAAAGAGATATTAGGCGGGAACTTAAGACTCTATCCAAAGAGGAGCGCAAAAGGCAGCAGCTGGCTGTGACTGATGTGCTTAAGAATGCTGATGTGGTGTTGACAACCTTGACCGGTGCATTGACTAAGAAGTTAGAAAACTTTTCATTTGATTTGGTTATTATTGACGAAGCTGCTCAGGCATTAGAAATTGCATGCTGGATTGCTCTTTTGAAGGTAATTATCAATTATCATAATAGAAATAAATCTGCATGAATTGTCAGCAATTGATATCCAAGTATTTCACAGACTGAAATTTATTAAAAAATGACAAGATTTATTCAGGATAGTTGTAGTGTAACTTGTGGGACTGAGAATGGTCTTCTACTAGAATAGTTTCGCATTTGCCAAAACTATTTTTGTTGATGTTCTTCTTGCTGAGACCTTTGCTAAAATTTCTAATTTTGTGTTACTAGGGTCCTAGATGTATATTAGCTGGAGATCACCTTCAGTTACCCCCAACTATTCAAAGCGTTGAAGCAGAGAAGAAAGGATTAGGACGAACCCTTTTTGAACGTCTTGCAGACTTGTATGGAGATGATGTCACGTCCATGCTTACTGTTCAGTACCGTATGCATGAACATATCATGAACTGGTCGTCTGAAGAACTCTATCATGGCAAGGTGTTCAATTATGTTAATCACACCTCAGGCATTCTTTTCAATTCGTGCACTGATAGCACTTGAAGAAGTTGATGGTAGAAAATGCAGTTGTTTTCTTTCTCTCCTGTGAGTTGAAGTTATATCTCTGTGTGCTTTTAGATTAAAGCTCATGCAAGTGTTGCTGCCCATACCTTACACGAGCTTGAGGGTGTCAAGAAGACAGCTTCAACAGAGCCAACTCTTATTCTCATCGACATAGCTGGGTAATGCTGTTTTCTTTACCCTTATATACACTATTGCTAAATTGCATACAAGAGGAATAGAATAACTAAGTTTATCTTATATTTTTATTTTTCCATCAGTTGTGATATGGAAGAGAAGAAGGATGAAGAAGATAGTACGCTAAATGAGGGTGAAGCTTCAGTCGCTATCGCACATGCTAAGAAACTTGTGGATAGTGGAGTTCAAGCCGTCAACATAGGAATTATTACACCTTATGCAGCACAGGTACACTTTATGCGGGTGAAGTAAAAAAACTATCTGATTGAGGATGAAAATGAACTGAAAAATCACATTGTGCCTATGCTATTTTAGGTTGTCCTGCTGAAGATGTTAAGAGGCAAAGAAGATAAGCTAAAAGATATGGAGATATCTACAGTTGATGGTTTTCAGGGACGTGAAAAGGAAGCAATTATCATTTCAATGGTCCGGTCAAACTCAAAGAATGAGGTAAGAAGTGAATACGTTAGGTTAAATATCAAAAAGTACCTATGAGATTTAGTTAACTTACATAAAAGTCCTATTCAGTCAAATTATGCACTGAAATGGTTTGGACTTTTTGGTAATTAGATTAAAGCATAAAGGTTAATATAACTTTAATTCCCTATTTATTTTTATTTCTTCAAATAGTTGAACTACCTTTTGACATCTAGTTTTGATTTCTGGTTGTAGGTTGGTTTTTTGAGTGATCGCAGGAGAATGAATGTTGCAGTGACTCGAGCAAGGCGACAATGTTGCATTGTTTGTGACACAGAGACTGTTAGTGGTGACAAATTTTTGAAGCGTTTGATCGAGTACTTTGAGAAACATGGTGAGTATTTGAGTGCCTCTGAGTATGGTACTGAGTAACTCATTAGTTATACATGGTGTTGTCTTTAGCATACCTTAAGGACGCCTATGCCGACATGGTGATTTCTTGTGACTCGACAGTTGCAAGTACTGATTTGTTATGAATACCCGTACATTTATTTGTTTATTTGATATTCTATATTTCAGAATAATTAACCATCTATTTTTATAGTAGCTGGTAGCAATAAAACCAAATTACATGCAATCTTTTTATCTAGATTCTGAACATTGGTATGCAAGTTGACTTGCTACTTACTGAGTAAGTAATATATTGGTTTAAGATTTGTCTTCCCATGTCTGATCGTATGAAACTGTTGCTTGGTGGTCTCTCAACTCAGTCTATTGTTGGTAGAAATATAGCAACAGCCCCAAAAAAGACAAGTGATGTGATGTTTCAACTCATACTTCTGCTACTAGAACTCATAGCTCAGAGGCAATCTTCTCTCTCTCTCTCTCTCTCTCTCTCTCTCTCTCTCTCTCTCTCTCTCTAGTACACAATAAGCAACTAATGCACCTTAACTTTTACTAGTCTATACGAAAAAGGACATTCCTACTCTATAGCTCAAAAGTTCCAGATAGACGGTGAAAAAACCAGCTCTTCATGACTTTCAAACGCATGAAAGGTACTTGCCTCGTTTCCTATTTGAATATCTCCTCCAGATAACTCACTCAACGTGTCCCAGTTGAAAATTTCCTCCCCAGATGTCCCGATTCCATCTTCACCATCTCTAAACGACGAGAACGACTCTATCTCGGTCACACTTTTCGACTTTTCAGGCTGATCGTCTTTTTTCAGCACCCCCATCTGCTGGAGAAACTCGTTAAGGTCAATCTGAGGCTTCTCCTCCTCAGAGGCGGGAATATTCTTTTTACTTGCAGATGCAAATTCACTCTCTTTCTCTTTAGCTTCAGGAATTTCGACCCGGGCCCGTTCGCCAGAAAACGGGCTCTGCCCGAGAACCCCTGTTTTCTTGAGTGCCTCCAGCCTTTGGTGAATCACGTGCACGCTCGGCTGAGCATTCAGATTGAGCAGTCCCGTGGAAGGAAAAACAGAGGCGAGATTATTGGAAGGGAACCACTTGAACCTGTGTGGTTTATTGAGGGGGTTGAAATTGGACCTGAGGTGGGGAAGATTGAGGTAGGCCTCGGGCCCGTATAATCTACGGGCCGCCTCGTCGTAGGCCATGGCAGCTTCCTCGGCTGTGGCGAACGAGCCCAGCCAGAGACGGGTCCGTTTCTTGGGCTCTCTAATCTCGGCCACCCATTTCCCCCACGTGCGCTGGCGGACCCCACGGTATTCGCACGTGGAGTTCTGGGGCCCGCCTTTGCCTCTCGCGGGCCCCTTTTTCCAGGGCTTGAGTGGGGATGATGATGATGACGACGATGATTTTCTGTGATGATTTTCCATATTGAGTTGGGAAAAAGGGTTTTTTTTTTTTTGTT